GGCCCGTGGGGCCCCCGTTAACCGCCCCCGGGCCGCTCCGCCGGCCCCGAAACAGCGGCCGGGGCGGGGGGAGGACGGGCAAGGTGTCACACGCCGGTGCGCGGTCGCCCTGCGGGGCGAGCGCAGAGAGCCTCTTACATCGCACCTGCATCTTGCAGTGAGGTCTCGGTTCCTCCCAGCAGCTTTAATGATAATAACGACTCAAGCATAGAACATGTGGCAACATATGGCTGGGGGCTCTGTTCTGCCGAAGCACAGGTCTCGCTTTATCCTTTCATCAGCTATATTTTGCTGGTGCTGCTTGTATATTAAAGAGCCTTGCATTTGCCACAGCAGCAGGTGTTTAAGGTGGATAAGGGAATAGGATTTCTTTTCCCAAAGCTGGATCTCTATATTGCACTAATAAAAAAGCAAATCTGTTTTAAATGATAGTGATTCCATGCTTGTATGCCACCACGGCGAATACACCCCTGGAAGCGCACGGACGGGTCAGTGAAACAGGCGTGCGTCATAGTGCCGTGCGTGATGACATTTTTGAAAGCTGCTGTGGAGCTACTAGTAGAATTTGTTCATTGAAAAATAATTTTAAAACCCCACAACCGTTTCTTGTAACGTACAATAACACTATGACAGGTTAAACCTTTTTCTTCCTAAGGCAGGCTGGGGGGAAGGGTTTTGTACTGCTTGCCATGCTAATGCCCGATCCCTCTACTATGTCTGCAATGGGCTTCTAAGCACGTAGTATTCTCATAAAAAAATGTTCTCTGCTGCTAGTAGAACTAATGGTTAATGCCTATGCTACTATGTGCTAATGGTTATTAGTTTGATCCTCTAATGTTGCAGTGTCAGTCATGTGATGAACAATGTCTGCTGCTGAAATTATAGCTCAAGCTAATTTTTGAAGTGCCTCTCATAGTTAAAGATCATGAAGACTTTATAAATAGATTTTTAAATAGTATAATACTGTGCTTTCAGAATATATATTTGAAAGGAGCCTCTTATGTTCCTAAGGGGCCCTAGTTTTCTTTTTCAGTCCTGTCTCTGATTTGATGGGGGCCCTCTGAAGGTCTCTCACTAAAGAGGAACAGCTATGGTTTCAGATGAGCAAAAACACAAGGGCTCAGATTTTCATGGTGTTCCCCAATGAATCTAGCACAACCTTTTTGGGGAGAGTGACATAAATCCAGCCTTTTCTGGTAATCATTGAGTGTCTCTATACTTGGAGGAGTGTCTCCACACTTTCTTTTAAGTAGGTCTTGGGAGCAGCCAGGGCCACTTTATCTGCTCTGGCTGGAGATAAAGGGCGGTGTTGGGAGTGGAAATACATAACCTCTGAGAGCATACGTCTCGTCTCTTCTGTCAGGTTCTGGGCATGGACACTGGGTCTTCAATTATAACTTTCCCTGAGAAAGGCATATTTGTGGGATCTTCCTCCTTAAGGTTATCATATCATATCATATCATATCATTCTTTCCTCTTATTCTTGTAGGAATGAATGTTGAGATTTTTTTTTAAAAAGGTGAATTAATCGCCCCTCTTGTACTGTCGCAGCAGAGAGGATGCTGAAGTCATGCAACTATTTTTATGAACCTGACACTCACTGTCCAATTTTAAAGACTCTTCTTTATGATGTTTTTGTGTGTTGGAGATCCACTTTTCATGGAAATGAAGCTGGAAAAGAAACTGACAGCCAGCAGCTGGGAATGAGACTCCTACTCCCTCTTCAGCCGCTGGCTGTCAACACACAAGTAATACTGCTGAAGGTGTTAAATTTTAAAATGGAAAAGCAATGAAATTACTTAATTTATTCCTGTATTTCATTGCTTTTTCATTTGCAAGTCACTAGTTTTGTCCTTGCACAGGAACAGAGTTTTTTTGTAAGGCAAATGGCATAACAGTGTATGTGTGGCCATTCTGGATGCATGGACATTTCACTTTTTGGTTCTTTATCAGGTTCCATCCTCTTTTTGTTGAGTAGAACAATAACTATCACTTCCATCTGACTTCAATCATTTTTGCCATTGATTTGATCCTTATCTTATGGAGGGTTAAGCGTGGCCTCAAAGGAGAAGCCTTGAACAGAAATAGAAATTTCATAATCATCGAGTAATTTGGTACGTTGACCTCTGCAAATTGAACTGGCCTAATTTAAGGTTCGGCAAGACACGTACAGCCAAGTGGGTGCCAGTGAGTGAATGGCAATAGGGAACTCTTAGAGTTATTAGCTCTTTGAGATTTGTTAATGCTTGAGGATCACTGAAGTGGCAGAAGGGTCAAGAAATGTAACTATTTTGAGGGTTAACTGACTGCATCGTAACTTGCTTTTAAATTTAGCTTAAAATAGCTTTTTGACTGTTCCTCCTTCACAAACAAATAAGCCCAGCCTTCACTTGCTAGGAGTTTTAAATGAGCTGATAAGAGTAAAGTCAGCAAAGAAGATTGTGCTCAGAAGCATCTTATGAAACATATCTGCAAGCCTTCCTACAAACCTAAGCAAATTTATGAGAACATGCACCAACAGAAGGCAGGGAGTGAGATGCAAGGAGTAATAAAGTCGGGGGGGGACATAATGAAAGACAGAGGATTATATATAAAGGTATATATTGATCTGAGTTATAAGTGGGAATTGTTTTGTATATTTTACTTCAGGTTATTTAAAGTTTTAACAAGGATAAACAGTTCTGTTTTATCATGCCTATTTCTGTAATTCTTAAAAAATCAGAACCTCTCTTTGTGCTCTTTCAAGGACTGTGCTTTTAGCGGGTAGTGACTTCACCAGTAGTTTAAAGTTGTAGCCTATAAAGTCCTGGAGATCCATAGGGCACTTCTCAGGTGACTGCCAAGCATGAGTGAGAAAAACAAGTTCTGCACGCACAGCAATCTACATATGTTAAATACCTGAGTAGCCCCACACCTCTACTAAGAAATATTGAGCGATTCAGGAACTGGAGATGGTTGCAGATCTCTACTTTCAGTCTAGCACAAGCCAGTGTTATCGTCTGGGAAGGTGGAAGTGTGCAGGTAGTGAAAACAGCCAGTGCCACCTGGTGTGAGTGGGGCAGGTGGGTTGGTCCAGGAGGAGGCGGTGGGAAGTGTCCCCAGATGTCGGGGACTGGAGAAAGCCTCGGGGCAGCAGAGAGAGGGCAGAGGGCTTCTGATGGGCTCTCTTTAGACCTGCAGGTGGTAGGTACTTGCTGTCTCAGTGTGAGAAGGGAAGGTGGTGGTTCTGGTGGTGCAGAGCCCACCAGAAGAGGCCACAGACATTGTGGAAGGAAGGACCAGAAGGGTTGCTCAAGTTTTTTCCTTGGTCACTTCATCAACTACAGTAATGATATGGGGGGAGAGAGGGTGATATAAATTGTCTCAATATAAGAGTAGTAGAAATTCTAGCAGGCAAAGTCTCACGTTGTTACCCAGCCTTTTACTCTTAGGGGTAAAAAATATGGCATTCAGTTATAGGCTCTTAAACCGTGTTTAAGGGTTGCATAACGCTGAAGAAGATTTTGATGAGGATTAGGGAGATTTAAGCCTGTGGGGGAGGAGGGAAGAGGTTAGATCGCTGCAGATCAAGTAGAGCTGGTCTCCGGTATGGCTGATACCACATTGTGGGTATAGGATGCTGCACAGCTTTTTTGGTTGTAAATATGTGATGCACAGAACTAATCCTGTACCAGGCATCTGTATAATTTTTTTTCTGGGGGGGGGGGGGGGGGGGGCGGGGCGGACGAAGGCAAGCTGGGAAGATGCTGAAGGGATGGGGGAGCGAGGGGGAGAAGCAATCAGCACCTCAGCTGCAGGTGTGAAGATCTGTGCAGTAGGTGGGCTCTAGTCGTGAAATGGCTGTGCTACCACTGCAGTGTGTCTGGGAGATGTCTGCAGGCAGACAGGCTGTTGCATTTGATAGTTTGTCCCTTTGAAGTGTAAAACGTTTTGTTTTCCAAAGTTAAAACACAACAATACATTTTCTCAGGCTGGAGAGGTGATGTTTAATTGCAATGAGAGGGTTTGGGGAAGATACTATTTGCCTTACTTCAGGTCCGTTATGCCTATGCAAAAAAGGGTGCCTACTTGCAGAGTAGAGTTATTATTTTTTTTAATACATAGAGTAAAACAGTGTAGGTTTGGTGCAGCCTTAGGCAAGGCAGACCGGTTTGGAAATCATTGTGGCAGCGCAGAAAGGAATCTTTACATGAGCTGCAAAAGTCAAGTGATTTACTAAGCAAATCTGTTGTTAAAGCAACCCTTTTCCAGCTGTAAACAGGGCTTTCTAGAGAAGGGACAGCTTAGAAAATGCTAGGCATGTTTAGGTGCCATAGCAAACAACTAAGACAAGTAATGATATGTGCCACACATATTCACCAGGCAGGCATCATAAAGGTGGAAGCAATATCTGACTGAAAACAATCTACAGAAAAAATGTCAGTGGATTGAAAATGTATGAAGCTCAAAAGCCCCATGCTCAAAAGTGACATACAAACTAGTTGACTTTCAGTAAGATGGAACATTTTGACAAGTGCCACCTGACGTGGATGTTGATGGACTGCATTTGATCATGAGTTAACTAAACACAAAGTTACAAAGTATGGAAATAAACAGAAGACCCATTAAATGATCCTTCCTAAAAGGATGGTGATTTGTATTTCGTTGTTGGTAAGTTGGGAGCGGTGTCTATTTGTCAATTTGTTTGTCAATTAAGACTTGCAGCTATTGTGTTAAAATAATTAATTACTTTAACTCCATAAGTACTTCCTATGCAAGAAACTTCCAAGAGTGCTTCAAGTACAGATGCTTATATGTACATATACACATCAGACTACTACTAATATTCCATTATCTTTGATTCTTTGTGCAAATCAGTGCTGTTAGCTCTCTGCTTGCCAATAATATATACCCATAATGCCATACACGCTACCCATAACTAATAAACACTATTTACAGTGGGGGAAAATGAGAGGAATTTATTAGGTCAGCAGACGAAGAACACTTAGCAGTTTTGTACTATATGAGGGATCTTTTTGTTAATAGGAGCGTTCCTCAGACACCTCTTATGTCTCCTGTAAGGACATAAACACAGGTAGAAGAGATGCTGGCAGTCTGCATAACAAAAGATATTTTTTTTATTCTCAGGAAGGACTGTTAGACTGTAACAATGAAGACGTTCTCAGCACAAATACAATGTATAGAAATATACCGTTTTTCCTTTTTTTCCACTTACTGTGCCAAGAAGATTTTATTACTTTTATTTCAATCATTTTATTCATAGAAAATTTTCTAGGGCAAATCTTTGACTTTTTTTTTTCAACACAGTTTTGTAGACCAAAGAAATCTCACATTTTAATCTTAATTCATGTCTGTCAGCTCCCTAACAGCTCCTTGTGGCATTGTTCTCTCATTTTTATTATTGTCCTTCGGAGCCAGACATACTGAGCGATTATGTGTGACACTTCTAGAAAAGGACATAAAACTCCCATAAAAGGCCCAAAACTGGCATTTGAGGTAAATAGAACGCTGTAAGTAGGAGCTGTGGTGTGAGAGGGACAGCGCAAAGTTAATAGCCCTCTTCCAGACTAGAACTAAGCTATGCCCCTATGCAATTCTAGTACACAACACATCTACATTTATAGATGTGTATCAGTGTATAGGTTGTACTCTTATTGATACTTATTAGAAAAGACGTTGGGTAACTGAGCTAATTTTACTGGTGCAACGCTATGTGTAGGCTGATCCAGAGAGGCATACAAACGTTAGTTAGTGCTGCAGGAGGCAGCAGTCGAAATAGCCAGTGGAATATCCAGAGCGAGTAGACCAAATGCGTAGTAAGAAATTCAGTGACCTTTCCTGTCACTAGTAGCCATGGGCCCATAGGCAGAATTCAGCTTCAGCTGCTTGGTGCCATAATATTGGGTTAGGGAATATGGGATTCCCTTTTCTTCAAAACTTACAGTCCGCTGTGCAAAGCACGATTAAGCAGCAGACTCAGGAACAGGGCTTAGTAACCTGAACGTGTGAATTGCTTCCTGTCATCATGTAGAAGTGAGAGCTGTAAAATGTAATGACAGCAATATAAAGTAAACATTAACTATTTCAGTGATGATTATCACAAATGCCAAATTAGTTATCTAATTGTGGTTAATGTGTGAACAGAAACCATCACTCCTCTCATCTGACCTCTGTACCTGCTTTTCTAACCTTTATCTGGGATGTAGGTTATTAGGGTGTTTCAGAGTGTCTAGAGCTTCCTCCAAAGTCTGAGGCGTTACCAACGCTGCTTGGTGGGACAGTTATGAGGACAGAGGGACAAAACAGAGTTCCAGCAGCTCAAAAATAACGTGGTTCAAAAATCCATTCTTTCCAGATCAGTGATTCTTAACCGTCTCTGGCTAGAAACAAATTCCAATAGAGATGTGGAGCCTCTGTAGCCCTTATAGGAGCTTGTAATGCCTTAGCTATAGTTGAACATGGGCTTAAACCTACCCGCTAGGCTTATATGTTTATATTTGTTATGCTCACATATATATGTGTGTGTATTAAGATTAGATAATCTAAGTCTGTTAGTGTTTTATGGCAGTGCATAATTATTAAGTTATCAGTCCTGGGAAGGAGGCAAAGATTTCAAACTCGTGGATCAAGATAACATTATTGTAACAGTCCTCTCAAGAAAGCGGGTTGTGAGAGGATATACAGAAATGTCCTGAAGCTGTGGATTAAGGTAGTCTCTTCTCAAAGAAGAGAAGAAATATATGTCTTGTTTGGTGGTACAGAAAAAGAGATAAAGGAATTTGTTTGGACACTGGCATTCATGGTCACTGCAGCACATACCTGCATGTAGGTCATGTAGGACATGTAGGTCTCGCCTCAGCAGGCACGGCAAGAAGTGGCCAGGATGTTTCTGTGCTGTGGCTACTAAATGACCCACAAGACAGACAAATATCTGCAGTGGGTGAAGAATTTCGGTGCAAGCTGATTTTTGTTGTTGTTTGTTTTAAGCCAGTGCTAGAAGAGTGACACAGCATGCCTAAGTAGATTAGGTATATGGGTTGTTCCTATATTTGTGTGTGAGCTGCCTCAGCGCGGGCTAGGGGGTGGTTTGGGTCCATGATGTTCAGGCACCTACATTTCCTCATGAATGTGAGAATCACCTTAAATGTTGGAGGTACTGAAAAGTTTATGGAAAAAGACCATGCAACATCTTAGAGGCAGGAGGAGTACAGTAATTTTGTTTGACTACGTTTGAAGGAACGAGTAGGCTATAAACGCAGGAAAAATGCAAGGCAAAATTTATTTTAAGAGATCATGACTTTGATTCATTCAGTATTTATAGCATGAAGTTTGTATAATGAATTACAGAAAAAGCAATGACCACAGCGTCTTGCTTTGGATGCAAACAGTCACCAAACAGCGGGTGCAATCCACTTCCGTTAAACCAAGGGTCAAGCAGCCGTTTGAGTGGATGGTATTACTAGAAATGTAAGGGTGAAGAGCTGAAAATGCGCAATGGCGTATTCATTATTAGCGCCACAGAGCTTCGCAGGCGTTCCTAAGCCTAGGAAGATGGCATTCCCCTTCCACGGCTGGCTGCAGAAGGTGCCCGCCAGCGGCGCGGCTGGCGCCGGCCGGAATGAGGGCGGCCGGCCAGGCCCGGGGGGCCCGGCCTCACCCTGGGCAGGGCAAGAAAGAGCTATTTCCAGTACGGGGAA